TTCATTGTAAGGACGGGATATACTGTTTAACTGATGCTCTTCTATCTCACTGTCTCCCCGAAAAATGGACTAAGAAAAAGATCTATCATTTAGCTTATCTCTGATAAAAGAAAAAAATATTTAAGTTGAAACTAATTTTTCTCTATTTTTCCCCATAAAAGGTTAGAGGCTTTCCTTCATTGAGGAATTTCACCCTGGTTTAAAAACAATTTTAAAAAGATCCACAACTTTTCATCTTACAAATGGCTTCCTAGAAATCCTAAAATACCATTACTTTGCAACTTCTTCCACGTTCTTTAAAAAAATATAACCCACCTCCCTACTCTTTCTCGGGCTATTAGATAGCTAGCTCTGGTTCCGAAGTTGGACTTGAACTGTACCAAATTCAGAACTGTCCCTACGTGTGACCTTGGGCACGTCATTTATTCTCCCAGTTTCCCAGTTTCCTCATCAGCATCTCGCCGTGGAAGAGCTTTGGAAACAGTAGAGGTGTAAACATATCTACGGCATTACAACTAAGAGGATCAAGCCTTTCTGCTGGGGACGAAATTACCTCCTCAGAGGGGTCCCATCATAAAACTGGAACTGAATCCGAAGATCTGTCAACATCCGACTCTTCCTTCTCCAGTTCTCGTCCCTCGAAGGGCATAACCCGAGTCACCCCTCCAGAGCAGACTCCCAAGCACCCCTTCTCCGTCCACTCCTTCCCTGTCTTACTTAGAAAGCTGGGGGAAAACAGCAGCCTCACCTCTCGCCCTTAGCCACACCTCCAGAGGACCCCACCCGAGGCACATCCGCCCTGTCCCTTCTCCCGGGGCACCAGAGGCCAACCTCGCCCTTCCCCTCCCGCCCCCACCGAGAGAAGACTTCCTGGAGGCGCCCAGGCCCGAGCCCGGCAGGCGGCATTTCCAAACCCTCTTTACGCCACTCACGTAGGGTAAACTCGCTTACGCCCATACCCCCCGCCCCCCCCCCCCCCCCCTGCCAGAACCAAGCCCGAGTGCCTCAGCCACGACCCCGGTGTGACCCCAGGCCTCTTTTCCTCCGCGCGGAGCTACGGGGACTGGAACACAACAGCTACACCTTACCAGCAACTGAGGCACTGACTTCACTTCCCACCTTTGGAGCCCTCTTTAACTCCGGGATCAATTCACTCCGGCGACGCCGGAAGGACCAGAGAGGAACCAGGCGTTGTCCGGAATCCTGCCCAGCCGAAGTGGCGCAGGGACCGATGGGGACTCGTAGTCCTACTCGCCGGCGAGGCCGGCAATTCCTGCCCACATCCTGCACTGATAAGACTACATTTCCCGGCAGGCCGTGCGACAGAGCCTAAGGCGATGGGTGGGGACACTGCTAACCAATAGTAGGAGAGTTCCCTCCTTTGAGGGAGGAGGTGAGATGAAGGGAGAGGATGTAAAACGAGAAGGGAGTGGGCGGGGCCAGCTCTCACCTGCGCCAATCAGGGTGCAGATTCAGCCCCGCAGGCGCCGCACCCATGGAGGAGGCGGGCTAGTAGAGCAGAGGAAGGAAGAGGTGGGGGGCCGGAGGTGGGGAACGTGAAGCAGCTGGGCTGAGTGCGCCGCAGGAGCCGAGAAAGCCTCCAGGGAATCGCTGGGGAGGGTGGGACGCATCCCGGGTCAGAGGAGCAGCTTCCCGCGGGCAGCAAAGCCTCAGGCACATCACGCAACCAGCTCGAGGAGAGAGAGGCTGAGCCTGGGTTCCCTGCAGAGTCGCCCGGGCTGAGCGGGAGGAAGCTCCAGGTGTGAGGCCACGAGTGAAGGGAAAGTGACCCTCCAGGGAACCGAAGAGGCAGAGCAGCTGCTGAAGTGCAGGGAGCGGGAAGATACCCGAGTAGCAGCTTCCCGCCGCCTCCAGCCCGGGCCGTAGCCGGAACAGCAGAGGGAGGAGCAACAGCTGCCAAATTCGCCAACTAGAGAAGGGGGAGGCGGAGCTTGGGTCCCTGTAGAAGCCGAAGGCGCAGCCTGGACTGTAGTTTCCCGGGAGAGACGAGAACAGGAGCGAGAGCAGAGCAGAGCGGAGCGCAGTCCTCCGAGCATCAGCTCCAGCATCCCGCCAGGGGTTGCAGGTGTGTGGGAGGTAAGCGCGGGTGCCCCTTCCCGGCGTCCGCACACTACCCTGGAGAAAGCGTCTTCCAGTAGGAATTACATTAAGGAATAGCTGAAAGAGTCTGCCTTGGGTTAGAAAACGAGTACAAACCCTTTCGAGTGAAGGATGTACATTTTTGGACTTTGAGGGGGGAAAAAGCAAAAGGAGGCATGACCCTGGCTATAAAGGGTGTGGTTAGTGTTTTTGGCTTGAGTTGCACCATTAAAACTGTTCTGGGAGATTTCAAGATTGAGGGAAACCCTGTTTCTTTGAGGACAAGGTGGATGATAGCTGGATAGGTGCGTAGCTGGTAAAAAGCAGAAATTGTATCTTTAATATGGAATTACTTTAGAACTATTTCACTAGGAAAATAACTTTGCGTTCTTCTTCCATGTCTGCCCTTTACGCTGATTTAGCAGATTGTCCCGATACCGACCTGTTTGTTATACAGGACGGATAACAGGGTTGTATTGCAGGTTCGTAGAACTGCAAGAGATCTGTGTTGAGAAGCAAATACAGGCAGGAATGGCCAGGATAGGATGGGTTCTGGCTGAACGTATGGGAAGTCTAACTTTTGCCAGCAATAATGTAAAAATGTGATTTCATGGGTGGGTACTTAGCTTTTTTTCTACTGATTCTAAGATATTGGAACAAAGACTTGGACTCAGCCTACGATGGGAATATATGGTGTACTTCGTAGCTGCTTTTTATTCTTTCATTTGTGTGCAGTAATATTTGTACATTTAAAAAAAAAAAAAAGACCAAGAGTACAAGAGAAAGCTGTGGAAGCATCTTTTGTCTGCTTACAGAATATATGCTAAATGATTACCCTTAGTATGTGTTATGATGGATTCAGATTTAAAACACATGTAGTGTTGTAAAATAATAGTTTATTCTGGGTATTAAACCTTGTGGATTCCTTTGAATGTAATTACAATATCTATGGGTAGAAATATGTTGTAAAATTAGGTAAAGATGAAAGTCGCACCTACCTTTGTATAACTATGATAAAATTACAGACTTTTCTTTTTAGAAAAGTAATTGGAAGCTATGTGCCTACTTTATTTTCATTTTCTTTTTGTTACAGAGGTTCCCTAGATTACATGGCTTTTAATCATAGCAGCATATTGCAGCACGTTTGACTCTGAAATGCCTTCATTGTGACAGTCGTGTATTTCAGAGTGTGTCTGAAGACTTGCATCTCAATTATTTTGAACCAGGGTCAATAAAATGAAGTAATTGTCTTCTGTTTGCATCCTTTCCTGATTTACTTGGGGTTTTAAGTTTTATTTTTGTACACACATCATTCCTTTGGGGAAAGAAATGGCTCAAGGGAATTCTCTTGAAAGCTTAAAGTTCAGTCCTACTGAGTGCGACATATGGATAAGTCTACATGTCAATGTACATTCTCTTCTTCTACACTCTCACACACAAGAAAAATGTATAGACAGATTTCAGGAAAAAACAGCTTCTTTTAGATTGTCCCCAAGCAGATCAGATGTCTTAGAAGCAGCAAAGAGCTTAAAAGAAAGAAAAATCAGCAGGAGCCAGTAAACTTAGCAGCCATGGCACAGATCAGAGTCTACCTTTGTGGCATGATGAGGATCTGTTAATCCACATAGATGAAGGGACCCAGTGGAAATTGTTTGGGGAGAGAAAAACTAGGTACTTGGGTGTAGTGAGGCTTGGAGAAGATTATATTTGCCCTTGTTATTTGTGATTAGGCTTAGTTTTTCTCTCAGGCTCCACTACTGATTTCATTTTGTGAGACTGAATATTTGTTGTCACTGGGCTATTTCTCTCATATAACAATGATTATTATCCTGGCAGTGAAGTTCTTTCAGAGTCTTTATTGAAATATCTTTTGGAAATAATTTTGTTGAGGATCAGTTAGTAACCAAACACATGGAAAGAAAATAAATATCAAAACAGTTGACATTTAAATGGATTTTGAATTCCAGCTCTGCATAGGTTTGCTCTGAGGTATCATAAAGAACAGAATTTCTTTAGGAATGAATGAGTTTGTAGTATTAAAGGACTGGAATTTTTTTTAAACCTGTTTCCAGGAATTGGATCATTTTTAGTTTGTCGATGAATGAGACTGGGTTCCTGTATCATTTGGGATTAAGGAGACCACATTTTTTTATGGGTGAAAATCATTGGCAACATTGGTACTTGGGCATTTTCTTACCTTCAACTTTTGAGTCGTTTTCATCAGTGTTCACATTCCATCTCAGAGATAATCTCATGACTTTGCTTGATTAATGTTGAGAAGGTTTAGTATATGACAGTTTATAATTTTATGTATACTACCACTTAGATTAAAAGCATATTATTTATTCTGCACTTGATTTTCACTATTTGCCAATGGCTATCAGTGAATGTATGATATGATGAGAAAGAAAAGCAACAGAGTGTAAATGACTCTGGGGTAACTGCTCTTCACCCAAAAGGCTTGGTTAATTTCAAAGTACAATATCTTTTGACTTTTCTTTAAATGTGAAATTCTGATTCTAAACCTACTGAGTAAAAATAATTGAGGAGCATGGATTTCTAACAGAAGGATTCACTGATGCATGCAGCACAAAAGAGCCAGACTTAAAGGTTCAAGATCAAATGGCTTTAGTCTGGAAAGGAGGCAGAGATGGATATGAAGAAAACTGCTTAAGAAACATACACTTAGCAAGAGAAGAAAGGGAGCTAATTTTTTGTTTTGTTTTGTTAAATGCCTAGAAAGGATTTTATGGCTTTCTCCCTGCAATCATTAATTTTCAAAGGCCTATATCCATAGTGGGAAACATTACTTTTCTACATTATCATTTTAACTGAATTCAGACTGGCATTAATTCATTAGATTGCAAGCAAGTGTGGTATATTAAAGCCTAAAATATCCTGCATGTGTGCATTCACTTCTAGGTGAGATATTAGTATTTGGACAAAATACTAAAAAGAAGCAAAAACCTAAAATAATATTTTTCCTCTTGATAGCAGAAGTACTTGAATAAGACAAAGATGAGTAATGATTCTTTAATTAATTATTTTAATACAAATTCTTAAACAGTGCTTTGGAGATTAGGATTAACTGTTAGACACAGGGGGAGGCTTTGCTTTGTTTTGACTTGTTTTTGGTTGTTTCTTTTTTTTTTTTTTTAATCTTATCTCTTCTCAGAATTTAGTCTTTAAGGTTTAGAAAGTGTGTTTTAAGTAGTTAGATTATTAGCTCTTAGAGACCATGTATTTTTTTATCAATCTCCTGCTGGTCCTGAGTACTTATATCCTGTTCAGCATAGAAAGTTGCCTATAACCACTTACCTAATTAGAACTATTGGCCAGTACTTCTTTAATGTACACATGGAGACACTGCACTTTGATAGAAAAGTGACAGTTGGCCTCACAGAATGATTACCATACAGTATACAGGATTTCAAACGTTCCTTGGAAAAATACAGTTAAAGTACAAGTTCATTTTGATGCAGATTTTCAAATCCATGCATAACTTTTTCATGATATACATTTTCCATGAATTTTTTGAAGACCCCCCCCATACATTCTAGTCCTTCTGAGACCTCTTTGTTCTAGTTAGCAAGAGTGTCATTTGAGCCCCATTTCACTTAGACTTTGTGGGTTGCAAAGACTTCATCTACAACGTTGGGTGCCAGCATTTCTATGTTTATCCCAGAGATAGGGAAGATGGGTGAAAGAAAAGAGCTCCCCCCAGTGGCATTCATGGAAAGCCTAGGGCTCACCACCATGCAACCTCAAGTCCCTGGAGAATACCTGTGTTGAAGCGTAACTATAAAATGGATATTTCATTCTATAAAAAGTAATTTGTGGGGTTGGCAGGTGGCATGGTGGTTAAAGTGCTAGATTCCCACATGGCCGACTGGTTCGAGTCCCAAACCTGGCGGCTTGCTTTCTCACTTTCCCTTTCTCTCTGATAAAATTCAAAAAGAAATAATAACAAATAAAATAAATCTTTTTAAAAATTGAATTTGCTCTTCCATTTTTCTAATTATTTCTAAACCCCACCCCTTGAAAAAGGAAAAGAAGATAAAAAGAAGTCAGGCATTTTGTTTAAGGTTGTGTGGCATTGGATGGTTATTGTTTCTGCATTTGACCTTCCAGAAACAAATGAGTCTGATTAATATTAGAAATAACAATTTAGTATGGTTTTTCTTTCATTATTATGAGCTGAGCAGTTCTGGTTATTATAAGTAGTTCTTTAGTAGTAAATTAATAATAACATATATTTAACCATTTAACTGCCTTTTTTTTTTTTAACATACTTTTACCCACATACCCATGAACACAAGCTGGCCTAGAACTGCTGATAGTTCCTTCTTCATGTTCCTTTGACATTATTCTTAATGCTTTAGCACTGTGCCTTATGTAGAGCTAGCGCCATTCTTAACTGTCTTCCTCTCTAGATACTTGGTAAGTATCTTTAGAACCGAAACTGAGTTTAATTGACCTTATATTTATGGTAAGGCCATACTTGGTAAGTGCTAATAATTAGTTTAACTGTCTGGCAACCTATCGTTTTACATCAAGCCCAACTGGAAAAACAATTTTTTTTAGACATCTGTTTTAGCACCACATTCAACCCTCTGCCCACAGTAGTTGCTTATATTAGAGCTATATAAATATTTCTTTGTTGGATTTTTGCATGCACAGAGCAAATATTACTGTGAACTACAACCTTGCATATGTGTGTGTGGTTTAGCTATGAATTTATTCATTGAGTGATACTCAAAAGTCGTGGTCCTTTTCTCTCTTTGCCTCTAGAATCCTGCTGATTTAAAAATGTACTTTTCACTGACAACCCTCTCACACACATACATATATAATTTCTATGACATTATTTTAACAAATAGAAATAGAGACTTAAAGAAAAACAGATCAATGTAAAATGAAGTTTTATGCTTGTCTTCACTAAAATTTACCTGTTCTTGAAAGTTCTATTTTCAATAAAATGGTTACATTTGAGAGGC